CCAGCTGGTCCCGACGGACAGGTGAGTTCTACGTCTTGCCCGCAAAGACACGTCGATTAAACAGAGTTTTCATCTTCTATCGGTACTCTGTCTGCCCTACTGCGCATACATTTAGCGAATCGCAAACAAATGGAGTCGTTGCGTCTAATCCACTTAACGAGCCCCGAACAACTTCAACACGCACCCACAGTGTGATTGGGAAACCACACTTCATTAAGAGTCCTCGTGCACAGATGGAAGCCACTTTTCGGCGCCGCTTAATGCAGTTTTAGTAGAGGACAGTATGGAAGAGGCAAATGATCGAAACGCATACTTGTCTTGAGCAATAATCAATGGTAGATTGCGGATTTAAAAGCCGAAGTTTAATATGTCTAGCATGATTGTGAGTGAGGGTTTTTAAAAGCAAAGGAACAAAAACTATGTACAATGAAAGCACAAACAGTGGACTCCAGGAGCAAATCGAAATAGCACCGCTCTAGATTCTCCCAGATAGACTAGCGTGAGTTGATGCAGCTTTGTTTCGGTTCACATGTCTCACATAATGTGGTGTAACGCGACCGGCGCATTGTCGACCCTATCTTTGAGCAGAGCTAATGTAGAAGCTAGGAGTGAATTCCAGATGTTGGAAACACGTAGCGCAAAGAAATAACTTCTATCCCCCAGCCTGCTATATTGCTCAACCAGTCTAATATGGCGGCCTCTCAGTCTGTTGATATGCTGAGCTTTCGCAGTTAATAGCACCAGTGCTTTAGCTTGCTTAAGATCTGGTAAACCATGATAGGATCACCGTGCAAACGCGGATAATGTCCACTGAAAACCTCAAAATACTCAGACGCTGTTCGTAAGTGGTATAGCCGCTTAACGATTCTTGGTCCGACATTGAGATCCCGCTATTGCCACGGTTTCCATACCTGAACCGCACATTGCACGTACGGGCGTAGGTATGTAGAAAGCAGCTGGGGAAAAAATATATGGGTCGAAGTGATCAAAGACATCTTTTAGGAGCCACAAATCTTGGATACCTTTTTGATGTCAGTTCTGATTGCGCAAAGCAATCAACCTCTGCCTGAGACTGAGAATGTATTTAAGAGCAAGTAGAAAGGTTTCTGCACAACTCTATCGAATTACGAATAATCAAAAACACTCAGTTGTGAATCATCAGCAGTTGTGTCTGGTCCGTTAATCGCTTATCCTTGTTCGGTTAGGAATTTGTACTAGTGTCATTATTTCCGGACATACAATGTCTTCTTGTGGCATTGTATGTGCATCGTTTCACAAAAGCACAGTTTTCCGAAATAATCGTCGACACGCGTTTTAAAACACTTCACAGAATCAGCCCCTATTAATCCTTCTGGTAGTGTATTCCATAAGTTTACGATTCTTCGTTCGATACAAAGCTGATGTGATACTTTGTTCATGCTGGGGACCCTGAGTTTGTAACGATGTCCTCGGGTGTTACAGGGTTCCCGCAGGTGAAATATTGGCCGCAGTATGGGGAAGTGATTCAAGTGTAGTACGCGATGGGTCATAATAAGGTCAATTCTTACTCGGCGATAGGAGAGTGTGTAGAGTCCGAGCCTTTCACAACGTTTTTCATACGGAAGCTTTTGTAGTCTCGGTATCATTCTAGTTGCGATATGCTGTATTTTCTCCAGCTTTTCAGTTTCCGATTGGGTTATCGGATGGTAAGCTGCGGCACCGTATTCAAGGATTGGTCTAATGGGCGAGGTGAATAGACGAGGGACGGTTTCTTCGGACCATGTGGAGAAACTGCGTCCTAATGTCCAGAGCATACGAAGTCCAGCACGGTACAGTTTCTCTGTATTTTCTAGTGATCTCATATCATGTCGTGAGAGAACTCCTAAGTCTCTGACAGATGTGTTGGGATGGAGCAACTGGCTGTCAAAGGTGTATGATCGAGTGGCTGGACGTCTGGTGATACTGATGAACTCCGACTTGCTTGCGTTAAGAGGGAGTTGCATTTCAGTGGACCACGTTGACAGTCACTCTAAGTCATGCTGGAGGCGAGTGCAGTCGTCCTGGTTCTCAATGATCCTCCAGATTTTCAAATCATCTGCAAAAAGGGTGCATGGTGACTGGAGCTGCTGCGGAAGATCGTTGATATGAATAAGAAATAATACTGGCCCAAGTACAGTTCCTTGAGACACGCCACTAGTCGATGGGAATCAGTCTGTCAGGTAGTCATTGACATGTACTCTAAACTTTCGTCCCACAATGAACTCGTGTAGCCACTGAAGTAACGTGCCACCGATTCCGTATGTCCTCAGTTTACGAAGGAGTACCTTGTGGTTCACTCTGTCAAACGCCTTACTAAAGTCGATGTACACCACGTCAACATCATTCCGTTCGTTGAGAGCTCGTACCTACTGGTGGTTTGCGTACATCAAGTTGGTGATGCAGGATAGCCCTTTCGTAAAGCCGTGTTGCGCTGGCATCAATACGTCCATCGATTCGAAGAACGATAGCAGACACTTTCTCACAACCTTCTCGAGAACTTTGGATAATACTGGATCAGTACACCGACATATTTTCACAACAACAGTGCTGGATATCTCGGTGACAATCGAACGGTTACCATCTGGAGCAAATGTTGCTGCAGAGAATGGTAGCAATTATGGGGAGTGTCCTGACACCCTAATAGTCATCTCAACTAAGAATTAGTTAAATTGCTGTAAACCTAAGGTCAATCTGGCTACTGTGGTGTGAAATGCTTTGTCCACTCGGCGGCATATTAGGCCACTTTCAATCATCAAGGAGAGGTAGTGTAACCGGGATCCGAAACAATCATCCCAAGATTCGCGTTGCCTTCCTGACCATTATGCTTTGCTAGTAACGTTTCTGACAGCGACAGATACCAACGAACTGGGGTCATTTGTCCCGAGCCGCCACCGTATGGCTAGGCTATGACGCAATGTTGCGATCAAAATGATTATCTGTATCATTTCATAGGTCACTGGCATGGCGGATGATTCGGTCGGAGATGCTACGCATTAGCCTTCCAAAAAAGCCGAGTACTTGGCTAAAAAAATCATTTGCAAGCTAGAAAGATTAATCTCGGTCAGTTAACTGCCAAGGAGCAATGGAGCATCCAAGGGCCGTTTCAAGTAGTAACAGTCGAGCACAATCCACGTGCTGCCGTGGCAACAATGTTCCTGCTAATTACGTCGTTAAGATGTGGTTAGCTCTGAGGAATAAGGTCAAAAGCCAGTTTTGGAGACGTAGCTCATCATTTCTCGCCCTATAAAAGAGATCAGTCATCGCCGTAACAAACCTGCGTCAGCTTAGGGCAACCACAAAACTGAAAAAGTGATGTGGAATCTCATATGAGCATTCAATACTAGCACCGTTATTAGGTCATCGTAGCTCAAAGAAATGGTAATCAAAACAGCACCGGAAGTTGCACCGGAAATGTCGGGCTTCGGCATCGAACACGTAGATTACTCGTGTTGAACTAATACGTGAGGGAACAGTTGATATTCGCAGTAAGTCAAATACGTGTTCAAATAAACCTCAAATGCTCTCGATTTGTGTAACGGACTGATTGGGGAACCGAATTAACTGATTGCTACTCACACTATATTTGCGTTGTGACGGTGCTGAAGCAAAATAATCCAATTTTACCAACGATAAACTGAACTCCAAAAACGCTGTATATGCTCTGAGTCCGCACTCTCTTATACTGTAAGGTGCCGCAGGAAGCTGGCGTGTGATGGATAACCTTCAATGATCAGCTGCACTCATTTGTAGTTTATGTTGGTGCAAAAAGAAGAGTTAAAATACTGTTCCGGTTTTTCATAGGGCAATGTTGATGTTCATTACCACTATTGTGCTTGACGAGGTTTATCCACATGGGTGTTTGCTTTTCTGTACTCTTCAGGGACATGTGCTTGGAGTCTTGCGGTCGTTAAATGCCTTAGCTCGTGTCATAGGACCAGCGCTGTTCTCTCTATTGTTCTGGGCCACCGGTTACATTGGTTCTTACTTGATTTCAGCTTGCCCACTAGTTAACTTGTGGCTCCATTTTAGACATGAATATGAATCTCACGCGCGTACACACAAAAGAATGCGTTTGTATCCAAAGCTTACTTTAATTCCTCTCCCATAAAAGTCGACTTGCTCGCACGAGCAACTTTCTCTCCTACCATCGAGTAATTCGTTTTAAGATCCTTGCAGGAAAAAAATCGAGAGAGAGGTGTTGCGCTTTAGTCGTTGCCAACTACTGTCAAGTATCAAACTTAGCTCATCCGTGTTCAGTATAGCAAGGCCGTTGCAAGCCCTGCGACTGTATGGCAATATATTTCTCAGGTGCATATCGTAGTGATCGGTCGAGGTCAGTCGGTTGTCACAGGAATCGGCCAGACCACTAGGACCGGATAATGTGGTCGAACACTACTGTATCAGTCAACCAGGTTGTGACTATTCTGCTTGTATTCTCAGTAGTGTTTTCCGGACTGAAATCCCAATTACAATCAAAGCCAACGACTTCATTGTGCATAGGGCGCACGGCTGTGGGTGGATGGTACTAAAATACCAAGGCAAATGTGAATGCCGCGAGCTGATTATGGGGACGACTGGAACACCGACAGAACTGAGAACTAATCTGTACTGAATATCAAAGTGTTGATTACGCCAGGATTCGACAGACGGGTGGCAGAATGGTAACCTTTAACTTGTGAATAATGCATGCTCATCTGCAAACAGTCCTTATTAAATCAAGTGGATTGATAGATGGCTTACTAAAGAATCTAATTGCAGGTGGGGTAAAGCTATAGAAAGATGTGATGTTACATGGAAGCAACTCCAGGTTGTAAGTAACAGTGAAAATGGTTACCAAGGTATATTCACTCTAGTTCATGGTCGTATTGATAAGGCAGCAAAATAGAGTTGATGCAATGGATGTGTGGAAAAAGGAACACCGATATGTGATGATAGCAGCGCATCCTCAGAGCAGCTTGCGTAAATGTCTCCATTAGCAGTCTTCAACTGCTATACTGCTTGGTAACATGGTGAGATAAATAATATTCGTATACCTTTTTTAATAGCCAATCCATATCTTCAATAGCCTTGTGTATTATCTGTGCGATGCGAACGGGATTGTCTTCGTCTGAGTGACTATTGAACTGCTACCATGAAGGAGAGGAAAGTAAATTATGTTCACATACTTTACTTGTCGGATGTGATGGCGATAGTGTTCCCTCAACGGTGGTGGCAAACTTCTGGTCTTACGCAGGAGATAGGCATATAGTTGAATTGGGTTGGATGGTTTGCAGACCATCTGAAAGAGAGCAGAAGAAAAAAGGTATCAGCAGAACGCCGTACGAACACTTCGTTGCCACGTGGTTATCATCTGTGCATGGGTTGAGGATACTGCGAGGTCTTCCGCACCTGCGCAGATCCAAAAGGGTGACCCCCGGGTCACAAAGCAGGCGCCTTATCCTCAGGCCACCGGCCGATACCCACATCAAATGACTCGTAATGGGTTGAAAAGGAGGGATGGCTTCGTCAAAGATGAGCCCAGATCTAACTCCGTTCATTGAGTCCCGTCCCTAGAAATCATGAGAACGCAAGCTCTGGGTTGACAAAGCAAGGTGGAACTGTTGATGCAAAAGTAACTGCCAGTACGCTACTTAGTTTGTGCTCGTGCTATGTCAGATAAGTGTTTAATCGCCAACATAGCCAATTACGTGGCCCCCGCTCATTGGGGGGAAGGTATGAGGCAGGCCGCTCGGCCATTTTTGCTATCCTAGAAGTATGCATATTCCATGGAACGCTTTAGTCCATAAACAACGAGCAAGGCATGGTAATCAAATCAGTCGAATGTGTTTTAATATCGGGGAGCACAGCTGTGGTCAGCCTGAAATAATTTGGCGCTGAGGTAAAACCTGACCTTTGGTGAAGATGGGGTCAATGCGGATGCATCGCTGTTGAACAGCTGCCTGCTCTTTGGTCGACTGTAATTCGTAGCCCCAAGTAAGATAGATGAATGCAGACCAATACCTTGCCATTATCCGCATCAAGCTGGTACCACATAGTTAGCGCAAACGTTGCGACCGCACTTCTTAACAACTACAGCTATCGGCACCCAACCCCAGTGAAGTTGAGCATATGTAGGAACATAGTTCCTGCATTCATCAAGCACACAGTTACATGTCATACATATCTGTATGCAGCTCCAATTTAACATACAATACATTTTTCATCTACATAGATTGCCAGCCACTGACATTACGCCAAGCCAGCCAAGAGGATCATCGACCTCAAGTTGAATTTGAGGCGCGCGCAACTAGGAACCAACGCTTCATGCAGGTAACAGTATCCAGCCTAGTGACATCCATATTTCTCGATCATACCACATTAACTCTTTCGGTGGTTACCTTTTTCCTTCGGTCTATCATTGTGGGTGCAGTTTAGGTTATTTTTGTGGCAGCATCAACAACAAACCTTTAACAATACTGAGACTACTTTTGTCTTCCTCCTACGATGAACATTATCTTCACCATACACAATCACCTGTTAGCATAAAGCTTACCTCTACGTGCCGATTCGAACAAACGAGCCAACGAATTTCTCTGCCATCCTTCAATTGTGCGTGCAACATAGAATCCGGACCAACATAGCAGGAGTTGTACTAGTTATCAAAAGTAAGGTACCGTGATTCGCTCGTTTAACTCGAGGATTCTGGTCGAACAAGACGACATAACGAGTATAATCTAAGTCGGCTGTGATCCAAACTCAAATGTCGAGCTTTCCATTACCCCTATCAAAACTCATTCAGTCGCATTTGGAGTCTTTCCGAGGAACGCTAGTGCTGCCTGTCGGGATTGGAAGTGATTGGACTCCCATCCTAGCTTCTTTAGTGCCAGAACACAAGACATCAGACAGGAGGTATATTAGGCAGGAAAACACAAAACCGGACAAGAGTTAAAACCAACACAACTACGACTATCGTTCGTAGGCGAAAACATGTTAAGTCATATAGGAAAGTGTAAAACAAAACGTTGCATCTTTAAACGTAGAAGTGTCAAGAACGGTGTTTGTATCGTAGACGGTTAGGTGTCTGGCGAGTGGGAGTGCGTTGTTTCGATAGATGCAGCCAATTGCGCAGTTACTTTTTGGATGACTTTTGTTCCGTTTCCTGTCCATAATTAGGACTCAGAACCAAGTCCTGTCTCATTGACAGTTTGCTGCTCCGGATTAGGTTCCATGCCACAACTAGGGATAATGGAGAGCGAAGAGCAGCTGATATAAGTCCTTCCCCAACCTTCAGCGTCGGAAAGATGGCCCATCGAGCGAGTCAAACAGAACGCATGTTCAGAAAATCAACGGGGCGTCAGTGAAGCGTTAAGATTTCTCCCGTATGTCATAAAGAATGGCGGAACCCTGATTTTTTCACGGAAGCGCGTTACACGAATCGATAATAACGGTTTCAGTATTACACAACAATGAATTTTATTGTTGCCTGTACCTTCGCAATGTCCACGGTTAACTGCGTGTACACCCGCCTCCATGTTTTCTATGGTGAGCCCCACAAAACATGATCCTCGCCCTTGACGAATCGTTCTCCATCCCTTGTAGTAACTTAGACCAGTCGGAATATCTGCTGATAAGGATAGACGGCGTTGTCATCCTTGGTGTCACACAAACCTGAGCAGCAGAACGCTGCAATTCTGCGTCAGCCGGCTCAGAACTCGAGCAAAACCCGGGCTACTCATCGTCGACACTCTGCAGAAAATATGGCCCAAGAAACCAGCTCTTTAAGGATGCTAGAGACGTGGTGCCTCGACTTCGCGTATAACAGAGAGCAGTATGCGGTCTTCGGCGTGAAAGCTAGCATAAGTAACCGCACCATATCCAGCTTCGGATGCATCACAAAAGACGTGCAATTGTGGCTAATTGTCTGCCGCCCCAAGCTTGCGAATGCATCGAGGAATATTCAGGACAACTAACGCTTTCATTTCAGGTACCCAGGAACTCCACGTGTGACTGTAATCATCAGTGACAGGGTAGTCCCAAAAGATTTTGTCTCGACAAAGCCTTTGCAGAACTAACTTAGCGTGCAGAATTAAAAAGGCGACTAGACTCAAGTTGTAATAAAAGGAAGACAATGAAGTCAAAATGCCCCTTCTCGTATTCGGCCTCTCTGGTATTGTGAACTGATAGCGAAAATTGTCACAGGCTATTCTCAACCTCCGCCTGAACACTCCAGGCATATCAGCTATAGGCATAACTGACTCAGCGACCTCTGCTTACGGAACCGCATTGTACACTTCGTTGTGACTACAGACCAAGTTGCACAGCTTGAATCCATCAGAATCATCATCAGCAGCAGCAGTACATCAGCCATTTGAACTGATACGTCGCTGCCATACAACCAGGAGGACCTATGAAATAAAGAATAAGAATAGGGAGAGAAGGGGGGCTTACCCGAAAACATTAATACCCTAAGCAAACATTCAGGGTCAAGGCGACTACACCTTGTGTAGACAACATACTGTCACAAACAGCTGGCTATCGTGCAAAGATAAGGCGGCATCGAGGAGACAGCTTCCTTGCAGCTTTCACTGCCACGCGTCATAATCAGCCATTATCCCGCAGATAACTCAGCGCCAAACACATATTAAACAGACAATCCGATTAGGAGACGGCAGCAGACGCGCCACTGGTGTTGGTTGCGAGCCATGTCCTGTAAAGTCTCCAGCTAAGCACAAGGCGAGTCACGTGGACTCCAGCCCGGAAGACGAGGCGGATCAACGGCACCCAGTTTGGTCGTCAGTGTTTTCATTTCCCGCTACTAAGTCAACTTCTGTCCACCTCGAGCCTTGCGCCATCCTACAACTGGCAGACTAAACTAGGCCCTCCTAGGTAAGCGGTGAGCAGGCATACGTAGCACGTGCCCGAGCCAACGCAACTTATTCAGTGCTATCTGGTGTTCTAGGGATCTAGCATGTTTATCACTACCTAGTATTCGCCTATGCACATCATCGTTGCGGACACGCTGGTGTCATCCGACACCAGCAATGCTTCGCAAACAAAGATGATCAAAGACTTGAAGGCGTATCAGAAGTTAAAACTGAAGGGGCCAAGTCTCACTCCCATAGAGCAGAACGACCCTCATTGTGTCCTTGTATACACGGCCTTTCCGAAGGAGGGGAATTTCCTTCTGTCGCCAAAGATGCCGCAGGTTCAAGAAAGTAGCTTTGGCCATTGCAATGCGGGAGCTAACGTCAGTTTCTATGCGCCCATCATTGCTAATGCAGCTGCTAAGATAACTGAATTGATTAAACGCCACGAGTTCCTCGTTAGCAAGCGTCAAGGGGTCATCAAGTGGCTGGTGGTCCTGCAGCAACACTTTGCACTTTGAAGGTGAGAAGTGCATACCAAATAATGGGATCACTCTGAACAGGTTATTCAGGGCTGATTATGGCGCCGCAAAACCGTCGAAAAGCAAAACGATATTGTCCGCATAATCTAGGTCAACTAACCTTCCGCCAGGCAGTGTCCGAGTATAGAGCATGTATGATGTTCACATATTTCGTGGGAATACGTTTCCGCGCAAGAATTTTGAACAGAATCGATCGATCGACTGAATCGAACGCACTCTTGAAATCGAGGAACACAGGTACTGTCGGTCTGCGGTATGCGTGGCGCTGCCCTAGTACCTGCCCCAAGGTGAATATATGGTCTATACAGCCACGTCCTGGGTGGAAACCAGCCTGCTCTTCCCTAATCCGAGATTCCCGTTCTACAGTGAGGCGACGAACGATAAGCGAGGCCAGTAATTTTGTCACAACTGGCGTTAGGCTAATACCTCTGTGGTTACAACGGTCAATGTGACTGCAATTCTTGTACATTGCCACTATAATCGATTCGCTCCAATTAGCCGAAACACTTCCTTCCAGATACGTTCGAATAGGGAGGTCAGTGCCCTGCAGAGGACCTTACCTCCATCCTTAAATAGTGCAGGAGGGAGGAAATCCGGGACAGCGGAACGATAAGGATTTAGGGCTGTGATCGCCTTTCGGATCTCGGCCTCCGACGGAGGCTCTAAACTAACCGTCCATGGCTCGTCCTGCATCACCTCAGTAGGAACAGGTCCGGGAGCAGGGGGCCAGCTGAACTGAACTTGAAAGCGTTCCGCCCAACGAGCTATACGGCGCTCCTTATTGTGTGTCAGTGCACTCGCGCAGTCTCTGATTGTCTCACTGACGCCTGGTTTTCTGGGACCAGTGGTGCGGATTAGCTGGAAGAGCTTGCGGTAATTGCCTACTGCTCCAGCCTCCTCCATTTTTTGAGCACGACTGGTCCACCATGCTTCCTTGTCAGCACGTAGGCTCCGCTTTAGTTCACGCCCAATAGGCCATCTGGTCACATTTTGTTCATAACCAGCCGGGAGGTGTCTTCTAGATTCCAATAGGTTCATCCACCTATCGGATATCCAGCGATTAGTGCGGTGACGATGAATAGTACCGCAAGCAGATACTACTGCGTCGTGCGCCTTCCGGTAAAGATCATGGAGAAACGACAGCGCACCAAGGCAAACTCAGAGTAGATACAGGTACTCCAGTACGAGAGGCAGTCTAGGATGGAACCGCGCAACCTGTAACTTATCGCTATGTGGTCAATTTGGGTCTATCGCTGGCCAGCTACAGGAGGACGCCAAGTGGCACTTCGGCGCCCACTGTGTCTAAAACCAGTGCTACCAAGAAACAACTGGTGCTCTGCACACAGTTGCAGCAGACGCTCACCACTGTCAGTCGTTTCGGAGTTAAGCCCACAATTACCCCCCAGCTGAGCTTCTGAAGAGCTCAGACGCCCTACTTTTGCATTCATATCCCCAGCAAGTATTCTAATATCTGAACTAGGAGCACTGCGTAGTAGCGCCTTCAGTTCGTGATAGAATGTGTCCTTGACAGCATTTGAACTGCAGTCGGTGGGAGCATAAACGGAAATCACGAACAAGCAGCGTTTTGTACTACTTCGTGAAGCAACCTTAGCTGACGTCGTCAAACGGGCCGCACATAAACGGCTGTTCACCGGAATCCAATCAACCAACGGTGGCTCAGCCTTGGAGCTGAGAATGATACCTATACCAGCTTGACCCGTGAGTGCTGCATCGGCGTCGCCGGATGCGTATAACCAATAACGAGAGGATAAGCAGGGTGCAGTTAATTTAATAACCCCGTTATGGTCATTGATCCCAGTTTCGGACACACAACACACATCAATACCTAGTGTGTTCAAGGTGCGTGCGAGTGCAGCCTGCTGACCTGTTTGTCTTAGAGTGCGAACGTTAAATGTCGCCATGGAAACGGGATAGCGTAGCCTCATCAGGGACCTCTGCCGATAGGCGTCCGATAGGTGCTCTGGGATGGTGGCTGAAGATGGTTCTGTTCCAGTGGCACTTCGGCTGCTGTCAATTAAGCTGGGAATTATAGAAGGAAGGTTAGTAATGGGGGTCTGGATGGGAGTAAGAAAGAAAGGTGAAAAAGAAAGGAAACGCCAGCAGTAGCATCATCATCATCATACACGTTAGCTATAGGTGGGGACCACCTCAGCTACTGTACCGCAATACAAAGAAAAAAAGGAGAGAGAAAAAAC